TCAGAGAGATTAAAGGGTCCTCTGATTTAATTTGGATTTGGAGATTCAGCCACCAAATTGGACCAAATCACTGCCAAATCAGAATCGGGGACTAAAGTTTTGCACAGCCCTACTAAGCACCCCTGCTGGGAAGAGAGAAACTTCATCACAAACAGGGAATTTACCCCCACCTTCCCTTCACTTGGAATGTACATGAAGCTAATGTGAACCTCTATCACCACAAACACAAGGATAAAAACACAAAATCAACAGCTTACCTTTGTCTCCACAAAAATTCTACTGGTTGACAGTCAGGCAACATGTACTATATAGGTGATAGTAAAATGTAGAAGCAAAAAAAGGGTCATATTCCCCTTCAGCACTGAACTAAATCTTTAAAAGAAATGAGAATTGAATCTTCTAGATCTTTGGGTCCCCTGCTAATAAAACACCAAAAAAGTTGACTGGGTTTTTTTGTTTCTAGGGTTGCAGCCACCTGAACAGACCTATTAGCCACAGGCAAATACAGAGTACATAGACTGTGAGTTACCCTCAGTCTGGTAAATTCAGTCAGAAGATATAGTATCTACACCAGTTCTGTAATTTGAATATTAGTCTACCAGGGTCATGCTGGAATGAGAACAGAATTATAATATACTCTTCTTCCTCCTGGAAGTCCTACTGCCTTTACAGGAGGATTCTTCCCACTAGCCTTCCCATAATGCTCACCTTCTTAGATCTTCATCACCATTGGTTGGAGAAGCTTCTATTCTTTCTCTTTTTCTTTGCATAAAGACATTTATGTTAGATATTCAGGCTTCAACCCTTGTTCCAGAATAACTCCATCTTCTATATTATTGCGTACGTATATTGGAAGTTCATCTCAGATTTTTTGATTTACATGAAATTTCAACTTCTCTGTCTCTCCTGTCTAATTTAATGCCTGGCTAGTGAGGCCTACTTGTTTTAATTTTGGGTCAGTATCCTTTTCACTTAAATGTAGATGATCAATCTAGAAGTATGGTGCGTAGGATGTTAAACCAAGCCATCATTTTTAAGCAAAGTCACACACAAACTACTTAAAGGCTTAGCCTACTTTTGCTAATTGCTTTCCAATTGGATGGAATTGAAAAGTTTAAGTTCTTAATTGTTAGGACAGTGACCAAAACTGAATAAAAACATTAAAATATTTTGACTTTCTCTTCACAGGGAGAACATGATAAAAATAAATCCAATGGGCTGTATTTTCGAGATGGCAAATGTCGGATTGATTACATTCTAGTGTATAGAAAATCCAACCTACAGGCAGAAAAGAGAGAGGTGTTTGAAAGAAATATAAGAGCAGAAGGATTACAAATGGAGAAAGAGGTAAGATAATTTCCCTGATGAAAACTTTCAACTAAATTGTATGCATCTGGAGTCTAAAGTTGTCTAAATGTAACCTGCTTATATTGCCAGGGCAGTGGAAAGGAGGCTAAGTGTAAATGAAAATTGGACATATTTTTAGGTCAACATGGACCACTTTACATTATCTTGTTTGACTTACTGCATAAAATTTCATTGGCACTTGCTACAGTAAAGAGAAAAATTTCTTCTACTCTTTTAACCTTAAGTGATACCAAATTTGAAAACTGCAGGCAACATACATTAGATAATTCTTTCTGATAACACAGTCTAACTACTATGAAAAAGTAACAGAAAAAGGTAAAAAAAATCTTACATGAAAATTACTGTATGAATTTAATTTTAAATCATCTGCAAAGATAAAAAGGTCATAGATATGTAACCAGTTTATCAACATGGTATGCAACATGGTTAAACCTATCTTTCTTCAAACCTGCTTGTTCTCCTAAGTTTGTATATAAGAATAGAGGTAAGGGGCTTGAGGCTTACTACCACTCAGTGCCCGTGTCCAGATGAGCGCAGCCATGCAGTATGTGGCGCTGCAGACATATCTCTGGTACCACATACCACACATTCAGTTGTTCTCCACACTGAAAGGGAGCAGTGTGGAGGAGTTTTTTGACCCCTGGACATCCAGGGTAAAGCCAAAGTAAACTACTCCCAGGCACAGCATCTAATACACATGTACCCAGGACAGCAGCACTTTGAACCACCGAGGAGCATCTTACTCCAGGGCCACTCCTGCCTTGCTCTGCCCTGGGCTCCAGATGGTGGTGGAGGTTGGTGGGAAGGCTGGCTGGGGCATGAGGGTACTACATATGTGAAGCCATGTGATTAGGCAGCAGATAGGAGTCTGGGCCCCTGCTGGCTGAGCTAACCAGGTGCAGTTTATGCCCACTGTCAGCATCTACATGTGCATTTAATCACAGTTAATTATTCTGCCATAACATAGTACTGTCCCTGACAGTACTATCTTATGATACAAATTAGTTTACTGTGGTCTATTACCATTGCACATGTAGATGGCGATGCTTTACTCCTCAGTCAATTAATCTACTCTGCAATAAACCACATGTGTAGACACAGCCAGTGAGAAGAATACTTAGTGCTTAGCCTTACTTGGGTCTAATCTATTTGCACTTATACTGGTATGTGGAGGACACACCAAACAAGAATTAGACCTGCAAGAATTCTGTCTGTGCACTTGGAAATGTACATGTCCCATCAGAATGCTAAGTCCCCTTGTTGCTTAATTGGGGAATTATTTTCATGTCACAATAATTGGTAAATGTTTTTAATGGCAAATATTTTAAATTATTGTTTGTTCCATGTGTTTCTTACTTGCACTCACAATGACCTGTTAGGTGCATCATCTTATCTCATGTTCAGCAAATGCAGGATTATTACTATCACTTTTGAGCTCCAGTTCATAACAGTCTAACCTGATTCCAGCACATGAAATCAAAAGTAAACCTGAACAAATATTTTAGTAGTTTCTGAAATCTTAACAATGCAGATGAGTGTGTAAGGAATCCTCATTAATGAAGAATTTTTAAGTATTTTTTTCTATTTTGATAAATATGAACTATGTAAATGTTAGATTTATTATAGGACTGAGGCCAAAGCACTTTGTGGGCATGTCTACATGTTTATTAATGCATCATAATCAGCACCACTGTGCATTAGTGAACAGTTTTTAAGTGGCACTTAATGCCCATTAGACTAATTCTACAGTTTTGCCAGCCACACTAATGCGCAGTAGAATTAGTCCAATAGGCATTAAGCATCTCATGTAGACATGTCCTGTTTGAAGTATTAGGATATTTACAGACAGCATTTTGGATTGGGAACCTGTCAGATAGTGGCTTAGAATTGCTTCAATTCTTTTTCCTTATGCAGTTGCACTCTTTTGAACTATTCTGCCCATATTAGCTTTGTTTTTCATAGCCTACCATACATGGGTTCCCTGAATATTCTGCATCTTACTATTCATTTCATTTTCTCCTGTTATGCAACTGACATGCAGTTTTATTTTTCATTAATCCCATTTGGCCCTGGTGCGACTTCTTGCTCAAATCAGTAATTGGAAATTTTCCAAAATTCATAATGATCAAGATGAGGTTATATTTTGTGGTTCTAGTAAATGCTTTTAAAAATCTAAATTGATAATCTGTTAGGACATATAATTTGACTTTAACTTAAACTCAGAAACACATTTTTACAATCAGTTAGTCTATGAATTAAATTATAACCATAATTACTAATCAGTAACTTACTGTACTGTACTGCACCAACTTAGATTTGAACTCAGTGGACCAATCCATTTATGCATGGAACTTGTCTGTTTCAATTGCATGTGTTTTTCCCTTTTGGTCAGAGACGTAAATAGATCTGGCTTTCAACTCTTGACTCTATAAATAGCAGCTTTGGATCCTAACTGTTGCAGTTACGTATTGAACAGGCATCCAGGGGACAAGATTTTACAACTGTAGAAGTAGGGGTAGCTGTCCCTGGTGCTGACCATACATTCAGTGGGAAAGTTTATAGTAGAGTGTGAAAGCTGGAGTGGTATGAAGAATTTTTATTGAGTAATTTTCTATTTGTCTACTGACTCTACATGATGTTGGTTTTAGATGGCGTACACCCCTTCTACTGTACAGTCTTACATTCAAAATAAAGAGCAGAAAAGAAAGCTTGAGGGGGTATTTACACTCTGACTTTGAAATCATATTCCACAGAAACTGCAGAAAGAGGATATCTACAATAGTGGCTCCTCTGACAAATGCCAGAAAGAAAAAAAAACCAAGTACTTATGAAGGCAGGTTTTGAATCAGACAGATAAATGTTTACTCAACAGCACAAAGTGCAATATAAATGTAAAATGAAATCACAAATAAAAAGGGAACTGGAGGCCCAGCATCAAGATTATTAAGCTGACAAAAATTTAGACTGATGTTTGCTTCAGGCAGTGACAAAGATTATTAAGTAGCATTGTAGATTATTTTTATGTCACTTCTATATAAATATTTTAGTATCTAGTTTTGTTCTTTTATATTGAGCAAAGGAATAGGATTGTTGTTCCAGTTCAACATGGATTATAATTGACACACATTCATAAGATTAAGAAGTTCTAAGTAATTTAAATAAATGATGGACCATATTTACATTTTTAGGATCTTTCACTCAAGGTAAAGATGCTGTATTTTCTTATGAGTCATATTTTAATATTTTCTGTGTTGATTTTTATCTTATCTTACATTGTCTTATAAATTATGTGTGTGGCTGTGACACATTGGCCTCAAGATTTCACACTTTGATTGGTGCTGGTGGGGAGGTATTGGGAAAGAACTTTAATTGGAAAATGAAATGCAACTACTTATACTTAAGAAACAGATCAACAATGAGACTGCTGCAAGTATGTCTTCTAGTAGGGTTTCGGTAGTTTTTTTAATTACTGCATGGGAATCTCCCATAGCTTATCTGAGAGGAGTCTAATTGGAAAAAAGATTAGTGGAAGATGCAGCACTTACTAGCATCAACATACAGAAGTACTTGTATTTCAAAGCAAAATGATAACTCACAGGATACTTATGAATTCCAGGCTCTAAGCATGGAATTTTTCATTCTAATTCACTAATTATTATATTATCCTACATCTATCTATGCTGGCCTATAGGATTGTTTTGGCTTATAGATATTAGTTTACAATAATTTAAAATATATCGCTCATAAAGTAACTGAGAAAATTTAGCTGCATAGATTTATAATCATGTAAATGTTTCTGTATATTGGATTTGGCCGAATCGTTTGAGTGCTATGCTGTGCTTGATATGTGGTGTGGTGGGGAAGTGGAAGAACTCAGGTGACTTAAAGCTACCTTGAGCCTTCCCAGTGTGGGATCCTACACAGTGCCAGGAAAAACTAAAACATCCTCTGGGCCTAAGTTAGAGTAGCCTGTCCTTTGTTGCTTATTTACTGCCTGGAATCTCTGCACTGCTTTGTGTTGAGCCCAACTGAGCACATCCCCAACATATCCTGTACAGAAGGGGTCTTTAGAAGGAAGTACCACAGTTGTCTTCTTCAGTTTTTGAAACAGAAAGATTCTTTCCAACTAGATCTCAACCTTTTAGAGTTTCTGTGTGCCCCTTTGGCAGTTTTACCAGTTATCAAGGGGCTTAAAAGAGGCTAAGAAACCTCACTTTTTGTTTTTTATATACACTAAATAAATCAAATAATGTGACTCTAGTTACTTCACCTAAAATAGTATAGTGATGAGTGCTTTTCAAATGCTAATAGAAATAGAAATGTTTTATGGCTAATCAAACTGGTCATGGAAATGAGAGCAATTTTAAGCCCTATGTTGGTTGTCTGTTATTTTGTGTGTTAATATTCAGTAAAAAAAAGTAATACAGTGATTTAAAACAAAACCATCAGAAGTGAAAATGGAAAAAGAGAATGACAATAAAAAGATTATTCTAGAGTAGGGGCTGAAGGATGACGACATGGAACAGTTCACTTGACCTCAGCACTGGTGGCTTCAAGCAAAAGCTAGTTTTAGCTCTGTGGCAAGGTGGGGCTGCCTGCCTAGCCACAGTGCTAGGTTCCCCACTTGCCATTGGGCATGCCACCCACCTGACTCGTCTGCCATGCCTTGTTCTTAATTAACTAATAGTTAATTAAGGTAGGAGGCTGCCCATTTTATGCCCCAATGCTAGGGGGTGCTATCTGCAACTCCAAACCTCCCCTATACTGCAGCCCATGCCTTGCAGATGGCATCCAGGTGTTACAGTGCTCCCAGCCTACAGCCGGACCAAGCTTAGGCCACACCAACAGGCCTCAGTTGCACATACATTCATACTGCCCTCCTCTCACTAGGGCCTCTCACACTCCACCCTCTCTCACAGGGTTTCTTTCATCCATCACCAACTTATGCTGCCTTGCTCCCTCTTGGAGTGGGCCCCTTA